GTGACGGTTTTTTTCATATCGCGATATAGGGCGTTTTATGTCGCGACATGGGGCGGGGCATTTTTGCCGGGGGTATGTCATATCGCGATATATGGGCTTCATGTCGCGACATGGTTGTGGCCGATTTTTTTGTCATATCGCGATATAGGACCTTTTATGTCGCGACATGGGGCGAAAAATTGTTGCCGGGGTGTGTCATATCGCGATATGCGGGCTTTATGTCGCGACATGAACGCGGGGGCATTTGTCATATGGCATATGTGGACTCCGTGTCGCGACATGGGGGTGGGGTTTTGTCGGAGGTGTACGCCATATCGCGATATATGGACTTAATGTCGGGACAGTGGAGCTATGACAGTGATGCGCCAGTCGCAATGGGTATCACAATGTGATCGTGATGCGCGCACTCCTATCGTGACATGCTATCGGATTCGTGAACGCGCTCTTTGCTATTCAGTTTTGACCTCAGTGCGACTTTGATTGATCAGCAATTGGAAACCAATGGATGTATTACTGTATATCCAGCGTGCTCACACAGCACACACGGTTAACCGGGGCTACAGTATTTGGACCAAGAAGAACATCCTCACCTGTGTATCTACATGTTCTCGGAACTTCCGCTGTGGCGCTGTACCCAATCAGAGTGTCGATTCTCACTCTTCACCCAATCGCGACCCGAGCTGTTCGGGGGTTTAGCCAATCACGGGTCTGAGAGCTGTTCAAGCGAGCAGCGCCAGGTGGATCGGCTTGTTTACTGTCAATGAGAATCTATTTTTAAAATGCTTTGCTTACTTGCAAAAAAAACTAAATCGGCTTATTTTTTAACGTCTTTATTGATTCACAGTGTCCCATACTCTTCGAAATAAATACATTTTTTATTTGCAATATAACGGCATCCGCTGCTTTCTGTAATGAATACATGGTATTTTAACATTTTTAATCGTACATTTAAGGTAGGGGAAACACCTTCTGCTTTGTACTTCAAAAATGAATAGAAATGTCTATGATCATTATATTATTATGCTCGTGCTTTCAATTTTGTTTTTTATTGTTAAATTATATCGATCTTGAAACTAATACCTAAAAATGTGAATACGGGCTCTCGTGTTGTACCAGCGGTAATTTGGAAACTGTTGTCTCTTCACCAATGACAGGAGTACACAAGCAATACATTTTCGAGAACATGGTTAAAAATTAAAAGAAAACACCTCACCCAATGAACTAACATAATAACAACTCCTTAAATGTAAGACTGTTTATTCGCGTAAAGGCTGCAAAGTCTGGGGTCAACTGATCAAAAGATCACAACTGGAAGATCTGGAGGTCGTGACTTTGCTGCTGTGTACGTCACAGAGCGACGTCACAGTCAGGAAAAGAAGGCGCTTTATTGAAATATATTGAAACATCCACCCCACCCGACCAGACAGACTGGGAAAACAAATTGTCCCCATAAGGTTCCTCTAATTCTGCTGTTTGATTATACCGCTCGAGGATTACATTGTAAATTGGAGGGGTGCCCCTATGTTGTCAGGACGGCCAGTTAGAGCCCGTGCCACCCACTTTTACACAGGCCCACCCAAACATCAATTGCTGGCTACGCCCCTGGCTTGTACTACTGCATTTTTTCATGTTTTTTATATTCTTATTGATTTACTTTAGTTTGATCTTTGTATAATACTACAGCCTGAGAAATCGAATGGTCTTCCCCCCCCCCCCGTAATGGAAGGTTGCATAGCCTACCAGATGTTTTTAAGGGAACGCAGAAGAGAAGAGAAATAAGATCACTTTATTAGCCATATACAAGTTCTTGCATTAGGAATTCGTCTTTTTTCGCATACCCCAGCTTGCTCTCCATGAGACACACAGATACACAGACAGGGAGAGAAGCTGGGGGTCAGAGCCCAGGGTCTGCCATTCAGACTCGCTACCTTCGCGTAGTGACCCCAATTAAATATTTCACCATCTTTCTATATTCGCCCTATTTCACGTTTCTTGATTACAATGTACATTTTGCCAGTACTCTCGGTTAGAGGAGTTTTCTCATTTTGTTATATTAACCTCACAAGTTTTGATCTTCAGGCGTCGCACTTTGCTTTGTACAGATACAGATCCGTGTCCTTTTCTATGTCTCATCCTATACCATGCGATGCACTGTTTCAGACTGACGGTTTTATCTGCAGAAAAGGCAGAAAAAAATATCTACTTATATATATCGATATCGATATATATATATATTATAAATATATTATAAATATCGACGATTCTCCCGGTTCCCCGACTTGTTTGCTCTCCCTCGGTGTCATGACAACCCACTTAAGACATGAAAATCGCGATGGTTTCCGCTGCCTTGCCTTGTGACTTAAAAAAAGAGCGGCTAAACCTTATTAGGCTAAAGCGCGGAGGCTTTCGTGTACTTTTTCGTCTATTTTAAATTTAGCATAAAATTTGCCTTAATTGCCGGAGTCCCAGACAACAAGGCCGACAACAATATTGTCGCGAAGCTGTATTCCAGACGACCTCTTGGCCACCACTGGCGGCTTGCGTGCGTTTGTGGGTTTTAAAGGTACCAATCAATTAGCACCTGCTTTCAGATCGGGGGAGCAGAGCGCTTGACTTCTTAAACACTTAATTTAATCAATGAATTAATTAGCTGGAAAAGATGAGTAACTCGAGGGCCAAGATTTCCAGGCCCCGGAGCAGCGGCGCTTCTGCAGTTCAGAGGCCGCAGTCTTCCCTTAGACGTGTCCCGCGGTGATGGATCGGTAGTCCGGCCGTATGTCACGACTACGATCGACGGGAGTACCACGCTATTTTCGGGAGGTGATGTATTTAACCGGATTGCACGGCGACTTCATGTTGAAAAGTGAAAGCGCTGCCTTTTCCCGGCCTGCTTTTTCCTACGAAAACCCTGTCGAATATTTTCAGCACGCGTTTTGGATGCGGTCTTGTCTTGGCCCCCCCTAGACAGAGATGGTGAACCTTTTCTGGGCCGTGAAATTGCGCCCTCTTAGCAGCACAGTGGCTCAAAATTTAGACACTAGATTGTGCTGCTAATGATTGCTGTGCTCGTTTGTGCAACGGCTTTGGTTTTGGAGAAAATAAATGTTGGAGAGAGGGAGCATAGCCCGCACGCTATGGCCATTTGTACGGTTAAATTGAAATAGAGCAGGAGCAGATTTCGGGGTTTGTACATTTCACAACCCTTGGGTTTGCAAAATCAGGAGTACTCTATTTGTAGCATTCCTATTTAACAGAGTAGTAGTAGTAGTAGTGATTAAGCCCTTCACTTGTTTATTCTTTATTTTGATGATACTCGGTACTGTGCGGCTTTCATATTTTACAAAACATTCAATATTTAAGCCAGTCTTGCTTTCTCGGTTCGTCCCAGGACGCGGGAGCATCCAGATTCAAACTTGACTGTTGGTATTTTTTTTTTTGCGTGTGTATGTCTTGCTAAAATTTCAAAATTGAAATTTTTATCTGCTCCACAGTGGGACAGATAACGGGTTTTCATTAAAAAGGCGGGAGTGAGAAAATGCGCCTGTTTTCTGAAAAAAAAAAGAAAACAACAACGTTTTGCCTAACTCCGGGTTTTTACAACTTCAAAAAGAAGAAAAGGGGAATAAGCTGCGAGGAGCAGCAGACGACATCATGTGGGCAGCAACAAGACAAAACAACAAAAAAAAAAAACTACCAACGAGAGGAAGCACTAAAGAAAAAAAAAACATCAATAAGAAATAATATTGACGAACAACATTGGTGAGAAGAACAACCTCCCCGCTTTTAAAAAAAGAACATAGTAAACAAAACGACTATAATAAAAACAACAGGAAGAATGACCACAACAATAAGGAAAAAAAAGAAAAAAAACCGTCAAAAAAACGACAGCACAAAAAAAAGCAACAACAGCATTAGAAAAGAACTACAAGAACAAAAAAATACACTGCTGGGATTGGATGCAGAAAAGAAAATAGGATTACAGTATGTGTATGACCTGAAGTCTGTTGTGCTGGCTATAGCATCTCTGTCCAGCAGTGGACAGGACTCAGGCCTCAGAACTGGAAGGTTGTGGGTTCAAATCCCATTAGTCAGACCCCTGAGCAGGGAACTTCACCTGCATAGCTCTAGTAAAATAACCAGCTACAGAAATGGGTGCAATTGTTAGTTTCATTAGATAATTATATTGGCATATCTTGTTTCTTTATTTATAAAAGTACAGGTGTAGTAGTTTTAGATGCATGATGTATACCATGGTACTGTAGGTCAGTCTGGTCCTCCAGTGCTGGACTTGGATGCCCTTTCAGTTAGCACCTGGAAAACGCAGCCGGTGGATTTCGTAGCCACTAAGCTGGTTCAGTTAAAACCAGTTAATGTCGGAGATTAAAAGAGAACTAGAGTCTAGATCTAGGAACAAGCAATAGGTTTATTCCATGCTGAAAATAGAAGAAAGAAAACACAAAGTTTCGGCTGTGGAGCCTTCTTCAGGTGTGGAAGGCTCCACACCCAAAACGTTGTTTTCTTTCTTCTCTTTTCAGCATGGAATAAACTGTTACACGTTCCTTTACAGCCTACGCATGCTGACGCAGCTGCCCACATTATGTGCAATGGGGATACGATATCTATTGCACAGCCACTACTTTTCTCTCTGTACCTTGGAGGATTTGCAGATGCAATGAAATGCAGAAAACGGCAAACACTATGGCTGTTGCGTTTATCTAAAGCAGTTTACCTCCACTACTGGGCACTTAATTTGTAGCAGCAGGAGTAAAGCAAGAGCAGAGACCTCACCATGGGATCTGAACTAGAGCCCAGAGCCCTAACATCTCTGCTGTCCCTGCACCCTGAAATACTTCTTTGGGGTTCAACACACATTCTCTGAAACAACGATGTTTCACATATATGTAAAGCAATTTATTCGTAAACTTCACGAGGCATCTGGACGACATGAAACGTTTACCGCATTCTGCATTTGAAAAAAAATATGATCGTCTGTGGGGGGGGGGTTCTTGGATCTACACCCGATTTTGGAAAGGCCAAAGATGTGTTTCACCCATTCCAGGAAATCCCTGTCACAGTTCACCCGAGTTTGGGGGGAAAAAACGAGATTCCACGGAGCTGTATGTTCTTAAACCGATTTAATTCGTACTTACACCTATATGGAAAACTGTATTATGGTAACGTATACACTTAAACCATATGGATATTAACCTCAAGTCCAATACATACTTATTTAACAATTTTACCAACAACTGCAACGCTAAAAGCGTATAAGAAGACACGCTCTTGATGGTGGAATTAAGAACAGCTCTTAACAGCTCATTCACGTGTTGCATGTACAGAACGAGCTGTAATATCGTTAATTGCCTCCTTCGGTACCAGCATGCACTCCCAAAGCGATATAAACAGAAAAGCGCAGTATATCATAAACCAAGACGGCACAAATGATAGAGAACCAATGTCGTTCGTCTCGGTTGTTATAAGGGGGTGAGCTAAAAAAAACTAGTACTAGACGGCTGTTCGGTCTAGTGACGTATTCAGGCTAGTTGCCTTGGTGATTGAATTCTGGATCCTATTGGCTTCCGTCCTCTGGCAGTCACTGGTGTAGCCAATGGGGTGTGAACGGTAGTTCTCCGTGTGGCGCGTCAGGCGGAACACGTGTTTAGTCTCTCGGTGTAGGGCGTGGGTGTGGACACGCTGGAGTAGGTCAGGTATTTTGGCTTTCGGTAATTTATTTAAAAACGGACTATTAGTTTGGTGTGATGCAGTCGAATCGTTTTTAAAGGGAGAACTACTTTGCCAGGCGAATAACATTTTCGTTAAGGGTGCGCTTTTTTTTTGTCAAAAAGCAGTGATTAGAGACAGACGTTTATTTTGGTTTACTAAAGGTACAGGTTAAAATAAAAAATAGTAAGAGTTTAAAAAATATAGGGGGTGTACGAACTAGACGGACTGACTACTGTGGCTGATTTTAAAAGATTACAGAAGAGAGGAGGTGATTCAGCCCGTTTGGCCTATGTGGTAGTTTAATCCTAACTGATCCGTAGATTTCATCCAGACATGTCTTGAGCAAAGCCAGAGCACTGGTATGAAGAGCATGGTTGGGTAGCGTGTTCTGTACACCCACAACCTTCTTGTACGGTGAAGTGCCTCCTGTTCTCAGTAAGAAATGCTCTTTCACCAGTTCTTAATCCAAACGCACACATTTCCATGATTGCCCGCTACCTGTAGTTTGAGGAATAAAAAAAAGTCAATCTTTAAGGAGCAATAATACTGTAAATATAAATACACCACATTGTATGCTCTGTGCGTGTTCATTACTGTTGTTGTTTTTCAGTGTATGTTTGTCATTTAAGTCATTCCTACCTTTTCTACATCTGTGCTGATTCCTTACAGACAATCTAGTTGGGTTTCCAAAACGTTGTGCGTTAAGGTAAGTAAAGTCAAACTTATTGGTCTATAATTACAAAACGGTAGTTTTCTCACGTATTGGCTGGATGGGCATTTATATTAGTTATTCTCCAGTCTGTGGTTGTAAGTGTGTCTTGAGTGAATGGGGGAGAGGTTGCATCAAAGGTCTCCGAATAAGGCGAACAGTTTCCTGTAGAAACTAGAATTTGTAAGATACCATCGAGCCCTGGGGGTGCTTAAGGTTTTCTAGTACTGCTAAGATTTCTTCCTCTGTCATGCTCTTGTTTCAAAATATATAACGTTTATCTTTTGTCTTTGCTCGCCTTGAGTCACGCTGTCGGTTTCTTCCTTGGGGAAAGATTATTTTAAGACATTTACCTGCAATCTTGTCACTAATAGTTGTTTAGTAATATACTGTACTGTTTTGTACATACACCCTACAGCATTAAAATCCTCATGAATGCAATTTCAGTGTTACTCTTTGGGAAATTTTAGTAATTATATCAAAGTCTTACCCAAACAGAAAATGGTCTTCACCAGGCTTGGTAATAATAATTATGGGGACTCCCTTCCACCACCACCAATGTGTAGCACTTATCTGGATGATGTGACGGCAGCCACTGTGCACCAGTATGCTCACCACACCCCAGCTCTCAGTGGGGAGGAGAACAGAGAGATTGTTCTTGCTCCCTGCCTTTCAGACAAAACACTGGATCATGCAGTGCTTCAGATTTTTCGATTGTTAATCAGAGTAGTGTGTGTGAAATCCTCATTTATATAACTACTCATAAATGGCGTGAACTAGTCCTAATCTTTTTTTTTTTCAAATCTCCATTTTAAAGTTTGGCAGAAGTCTCAGTTAATGCAGCTTTTAATGGGGGCGGTTGGACGGTAAACTGCTTTCTTTCAGTTTTTTGTTTTGCATTTTTAGGTGTGTAGGCATCTGGAGGTATTAGCATTTGCCCACAATTCCTCAGAATCCTTCCCTTGGGTGTGCCCGAGCGCTGAGCCCTGTTACCATGGCGTTTTACCAGCGTGTGTGGAGCGCTCCGGCCGTGGCCTGGACCCCCAGTCCGCCCCTGAGCTTTAGAGCCCCCCAGCTCCCCGTGGCGGCGTTGGCGCACAGCCCCTGTCAGATCATTCTCTCCCCCGCGACGGTCGACGTCGTAATCGCTCCGGGGAGTGCGCACAGAAACCCGCCGCCTCTTTGCCGAAACAGTTTCCGTGAGCTAGCTGGTAAGTCTTCCTCGCGTCGTGCGTCCCGGCGGAGGCGTTTCTGTATCGGGCTCTCGGGGCTCGGCGTGCCCACGCAGCTCTCGGAAGAGCGGGTGTGCTTCGCTTGTGATGATGTACGATTGTATGACAAGTTCAAGTTGTGAGACAAGTTCAAAGGCCCAGTGTCTTTCATTTTTATCCTTTTTAGTGCAGTACTACTGTATGTGCATTTTTGTGTGTAAGTAGTTGGTACTTAAGGACGTCTACATCATGGTCAGTCTCTGATCTTGGCGTGCACTTTCACTTTTGACATCTGGAGCTGGGGATCACAAGGTCTTTAAACTGTGCTGCTGCTGAGGTGGTCACTGGTAGGAGATCGTCTGTTGTTTTGCCCATGGGAAGCCTAGCTTTGAAAATCCAGAGGGATTGCTGAATCATTTTAACTCTGTGGTGTGTTGTCTCTCTTCAGCCCTGCCTTCGACTGACGAGGAAGCCACCATCTTCCACCTTAACAGGTAGCAGGAATCCTGAGTGTGTATGCCTATCTGTCTCTACACGCGCTTTGTGGAAGAAGGTCATTTTCCCCCCACTGTACTGTAATATTCTGGGTATGATGGTTCTGCAATCGTCAAAAGTAACACATTTTCTTTTCGTTTTAATACCCACCAGTACATGATATGTGTATCTTAAAACATTTGACATCAATTATAATCTAAATTATAACTCTACCTATTAAAAACTGGAGTATCCTCCATATCCTGCTTTTCACGTAATCTCACTTTTATTTACTGCAATCTGATTTTTTTTCCAATTATGTATGCCTATCGCTGTCCATAATATTTAAGCTATATATGCAGCTAACAAAGTCGTTAATGTGCACGCTCACTATCTTACTGAGGAGATCATGGGGTGGTGGTGGAGGGGACTGTGTTGCAGTGGGTGGTGTGGTGGTGATGCTCCCCTCCCTGCAGTTTTCCCTGGTTCGTTCCAGTGATTCCAGTTTTGCCTGCATTGCATGGAAGTCAATTTCAGAATTTGGTTGCATATCCCTTTGAGGCAATAAGTGCATGAAGTCTGCAAACCCCTGCGCTCACTCTTCTCCACTTTCTGCGTGCCTGTTTTTGATTTCAGAGCCGTGTTTGATTTAGTGACCGCTGAAGGGGGTTTGGAGCTCACCGATTCAAAATTGCTGGGCTGGTACCTGTCCCTCCCTGTCAAAGACCGACAGTTCATACAAGGTGATGGTGAGAGGTTTTTTTTTTGGGGGGGGGTGGGAGGTTGCAGGTAAAGCATTTGGTCTAATTCCAACAGACTATGGAACACCTTCTACCTCCAGGCAGTTAGCCTGCTAAATAGCCAACCTGCAGCTCCTTCAGCAAATTGCCCGTAATGGCCACATGGACATTCTGTACAGTTTTCACTGTATTGGGCATACAGCACTACTTGGACATAATATATTGCATACACCCTGGACACATCCCAGCTCTATTCATATTGAGTTTTGTCTGAGTTTATTTTATTCCTTTTCTATTGCATTATTATCTGTTTTGTAACCTCAATTTTGTGATTTGTATTCCCCCCTGGTGAGCTCGTAGAAAAGACAATTCATTGCCAGCAACTACTGCTGCACACTGTATTGTTGTGCATTTGATAAAATAAACTTTGATTGAAGTGTGTATGGAGGTCACATCGGTCCTTTATGGAGTTCTCTAGATCCACACATCTTGCACGCGGGAGATTTTCCAGAGGTATTATACTAGGCGTTTTGTAGGGGAGAATACGTTTCTTTCCTCCAAAAATTCACAGTGCGTATTTTTAAAAGTAGATCCCCAAAAAGAAACTTCTCTTTTGTGTGCACACAAATACTGTACATCTTATTTTAAAAGTTTATTCTTTATACTGCATTTTGAAGGAGAGTGACAGGAAAGAACCTTGCAGTACTTTTTAAAAGTTGAGGAAAATGATTGATTTTTAGTAATGTAACCTGACATTTTAATTTGATTCGGTCTGCACTTTAAGCTGGCATTTCAGTCGGTGAAATTAATCAAAAGCCTCGACTTGAGTACTAGATCTATGATGGACTAAATTGTTTCAGTGCTTCATAGTGTAAAAGCAAAATAGTTTTGCTGTATTTCCACACCAGTGAGCAAAAAATGCTATTTAATGGCACAGTAGATTTGAGATTTTAAAAGAGAATGTTTGCAAAGGTACCTGAAGGAACTTAAAAATGTTCCTGAACCTTATGGATTATATTGCTCTGTAGAGCAAATAAATTCATACCCCTGGAGTTTTCAAAGAATTGAAGGCAAATGATAATTCAGAACAGTTAATAACTTGTGTTATGCTCACATTATGATTTAAACAGTTTAACAAGATTAAATTTTGTTCAGTAGAAACTACATTGGCATTCCATTTACGAATGAGTAAAAAAAGATGCAGTAAACAAATATTGAATTGCACTGTGTGCTTATTGAAACACAATAATTCAATTGCAGTTATAAACCATACCAAGCGATGCACAGTCTTTAGAGTGGTATTCATTACAACCTGTAATGGTTTCTTTACCACCAAAAACGTTGAGAAACCTTAATGTTGATGCAGTCTGCAGTAATATCACTCTGGGGAAGATAAAGTTAAGACCATGTGGTATTTGTTAACCTGGCTTCTGACTTCGCTCCTAGGGACCGATTACAGTCTAAGCAAAGTTCATGGAATTCTGGTCCTTGACTGGTTAAGGCTCATGGTCCAAGGACTGCTCTGGTCACAGACTTGCAGTTGCTAAACCCAAAGGACACTGGTGGTTTCAGTAAGAAAATCAGAAGTTTACCATTATATGTGCTGTAGCTTGTAATGCTCTGGTTGTTTAATTTCCTTGCAGGAGAAGGGGGGCTGTTACGTTTCCTACAAAGACACCCAGCGCTGGAAGTTAGTAGGAACTGTGTGTATACAAAGAGTAAGCGGTTTTGCATGTCTTTCTGTTTTTCCTTCCGAGTTCATTGTTGCCCATTTACCAAAGTCCTGGCATATTGGCAAGGCTGCCCAAGTGTGTTGTTACTGTGCAGTTGGCAGAGAAATCACTCACTTTGCTGTCTCCTTTGTACATATTCAGTAAGCAGAAGTGTAAAATATTCATGCATGTGCTTCAAAAAGATGTTTGAGAAGAGTGTTTCTTCAATTTCAGAGCAGAACTGTCCGGGCGGTGAACACTGGCAGGTGGAAGAAATGTCCTCCGCTTTGAATAAGTAAGGGGAATATTTCTTTTTTTCTCTTCATTCTTCCATTAAATCTATCACTTCTGATGCAACTGTGCAGTTCCATGTGATGTAGCAAGTAAAAAGTGGAGTGATTTTCGCGAGGATGGTTTGCTAAATGAAGTTAATGCAAATGAAATTAAGAAATATTTCTTGTTTAACCTATTGTTAGCTTTGCCACAAGGGTTTGGCACAAAGCCGGTCAAAAATGGTTATGCAGTTCTGATCAGTGATTAAACAACCTGGTCGTCTAATATTTCACAGATCAAGAAGGCCGACTTTTTACTGCATGCCTCACTGCAGGAAGTGTGGAGCCAGCAGCGCTCCAGATACAGAAGAGTGCAGGAACTGTAGTGCACACCAGGCAAGATCAGTGCAGTGTTTATCAGGTGGGTGCTGGGTGTGCATATGTTTCTGCGAGAATGTTAAGGGATGTTAATGGAGGGGGTAAGGAAAAATAAACAGCAAGTTTTCCCTTCATAAATGTTTGATCTGTAATTTCCCTGAATTTTGCATGTATTGCCTGTGAAAGCAGACTTCCAGTTTTGAGTTCCCCTTAGTTTTGAGCAAACCTTTTCTTTCTTCTTAAGAAAAAGGCTGGCAAAATAGGTCTTTCATTGGAAGTAATTTGGTTTCTTTTCTGTGCTCTTTTGTGTAGAGCCAGAAAAGGTTTTACTTCCTGACTGCGTCAAGCAAGAACTCGCCATACAGAAGCCCAGTGCCGATCCTGACTTGTCTGAAACATTTGAATCTGCCTGTGATAGCAATCTCGTGGCTGACAGAGATGGGAGGGTTTATGAACCCAAAGGAGCCCGCCTGACTCCTCACCTGCCTGAAGAGTGTGTGAATGTTATATTCAAAGAAGCCTCAATTGAGGCTAATTATTCCTTGGACATGAAGCTTGAGAGCCATAAGATTGTAGAGGGCACTGTGGAGGGTACCTCTGCTGAGCGAGGGCTGCGTTACCTTGGAGAAACGGAGACCGTGGACTATTCTGTAGATGGCCTTAACCTGGAGATGGAATCTCTTCCAGATTACTGCAGCCTGGACAGCACTGGGTTTGACCGTACTGCTGCTGAGCCCAGTGAAAGCCCTTTGCCCTCGGGTGCAGTGACTGCCGAATATTATATGAGTGTTCAGGGGGACCACAGGACCACAGAGCTGTTTGCTGGGGATTGGGCTGAGCTGTGGGATGCCTCCTCCTTTCCCTCTGCTGCACTTTGGGTTTCTGAGAAATTTGACCTGGACTGCGTCGGTGCCTTAGAGGGGTGGTCTGACGAAGCTCAGTTAGCGGGCGACAATCCGAGACCCGTTGACCCAGAAAACCCAGAATATCGCAGCGTTGCCAAACTGAAGCCTGTCCTTCCAGAGCCGTCCTCTCGGGGGGACGTCCCTGGACACTCTCACCAGCGCGTCGTTCAAAGCTGTGTCCGCACAAGAGACGGCGGTCTCTCCGCAGGAGCAGCACAGCGGCGTGCTCTGGCTGCAGGTTGCAAGAACGAGGAGGGGTGGCAGGAGGCGGAGGCTCTCGGGAACCTCTCGGGCAGGCCAGCCGTGGGTGAGGAAGCGAGCACTGAGCCGCGTGCAGACGAACACGAGATGTCCTCTTACGAGGAGTGCTTCACGTCGGCAGTCCCCGCTGCGGATGAGGCCTTGGGGAGGAGCCCGGCGGTGGCGAAGGACCCCTTTGCTGGTGGCGATGCTGAAGGAACCCCAGGGGCTGACCTCCTGTTGGGTGGCAGGAAAAGCCGAGTGCTCATCCCGTCGCGAAAGCGTGAGCACGGCGCCATGGGCAGCCCCCAGATCACGGTAAACCAGATGGTGGATGCCGGTGGGGATTTCCGGGCCAGTTTCACATCAAGCCGGGCCACAGAGGCTAAGCCAAGCATGGTGAGCACCTCCACTAACACTGATGGCAGCCTGCAGGCTGCTGGGCTGGACAGGGGCACCCAGACGTCGAAGGCTGCGACCGTGGAAAAGCACGTTATTACCGAGCTGTACATGGAAGACCTGGACTACTTCACTGAGGTACTTGCAGTGATTTTTTTTTCGGGGGGGGGGGGGGCGGATTCAGAATAGTAGAGAGGGTGTCATGTTTATGAACATTTGTTTTTTTTTCCCCCAGTTTCCTTCATGACCTGAAACATTTGTCTGAGGGCCTTCAGCTGTGTAGACCAGTGTCTACAGGTCCCAAATTAAATTGCCAAAATATAATGACAGATAATCTACTGACTGTAACTTTGACCTTTTATTGATGGAGCTTTCTTTATTTACACCAAATGCAGTGCGTCGTATCGGAATGAGGACACCTGGATGTATGTAACCCACTTGTTCTGATTTGGTGTGTAGTGTTTACATGACTGTTCTCATTTTCAGTGAAGTTTTAACTTGCAGATGCAGTTCAAACATCTTTAAAGGGTTCCTGAATTGTCTTTCTAGGAGTTCATGAAGTTAAGGGGTGCGGAAGCAGAATTAAAAGACCTGAAGGAAAAGCTATCAAGGTAATGTCCAGCTACTGAGATGTGGTGACCCTGTATAGCCTTTTAAGGCATTTCAGAGTGGCTGTGCTGCATTGTGTTTGGCATTTCTGTTATTCCTTAATTACTTTTTCAATAGCAAGTATACATGTTAGGGATCTCTTAGAGAAGATGATAGAGTAAAGTTTTAACCACGATTACCCTAGTGCAAAATTTAGGGTTCCCAGGGACGGGACAAGATAAGCTGGCTAGGACTCTCAGCTTTCCTGCAAAAAGCAATTTATTGTGCTGCTGCGCAATAAGTTACAAATGAACTGGTTGTGTCGCCACAAGCAGAGGCACAAGGTATGGGGGGGGAAATTCCCTGTGCATTACTTTCTACACAGTCATCGTGCCTGATGCAAATTGCGCGCGTCATTTTTCGGCCAGTCCGAAGCTGGCCCCTGTCACTTTCATCTGTTGCCCCTGACAACAGCACAACATTGGAAGGACAGCGTTGAATAATTTCCACTTTGTACCGGACGTCCCTTGATTTGAAGGGAGAATATCCTCGAGTGTCATTTCTGCCGCCAGCCTCAACCTCTCTGACAAAGCCTTGGGTAGTTTTGGTAGGGTTTATTTTTAGCATTTTTTTATGAGGAAACTGGGATGTGACGCTGGGGAAGACCAGGAGTTGGATGAACTCCTACAGTCAGCCACAGCACATTCAGATGTGGATATTTTCAGCCCTAAAGGCCTTGGTTTCTTATGGCTCTGTGGACTATCTGTACATGGAATGATCATTGGAAATAGGAGTAGGATCCTTCGAATATAATTGTCTGGCAGTGTGGCTGCCCGTTTGATGCAGAACTTGTTTAAAGTGCTGATCTGCTGGTGCTGTGTCCCCTGCAAGTCGCTGACTTTGCCTGTGCAGCAAGTTCCTAAAAGGACTGTCTCCCAGGGGGCTTTGGGAGGGTGAAGGAGACTGTTCTTGTTGTCCCCGTGTGTAGACAGGATAGTCTGCTGTAGCCCGCGATGTGAAAAAACGTCTGACAGTTCGGAACAGAGGGGGTGAAAATGACAAAAATAACCCATCAGAAGATGTTTTTTCCCCGGGTACTCCGGATTTTGTTCCCACTGCCCAAAGCCATGCTGATGGGTATACTAACTATGCTAAGTTTGCTTGTTCCATGAGGAGTGGGAGTGAGGCCTCTTCCTCATTAATCTGCCCTGTCTGGGGTAGCTGGGATGGCGCTTCTTGGTCTGCATCACCATATGTCATGTGATTTTTAGGACACTGGTGTTCAAGCCTGGGCTGGAGAGGTATAGTATAGCTTGTAGTGTATAGGTTCCCTTAATTCATCTGTTTTTAAAGGCCTGCAGCAAACACATTTTTAATTAATTTAAGAAGCTATATTTCACTTCAGTCTGAAATGTTCAGCTCTGATCCTCGATAGCTATAGGCTGAGAGATTCCCGTTTTCATTTCAGAATATCTCCAGTTGACCTCACGAATAAATAATGATGCGCCAGGTCTGTAGGAGTAAAGCCAGTTTAAGAGTGGATCAGTCTTGGTTGTGAACCCGGTGAACCAGCTGCCACCATCCACTATGTCAATCCATCAACACAGCACGAAAGGCTCTTGTGGGTGGTTACAGTATGCATCTGCTCTTCCTTGCTGCAGCCTGGCTGTAATTCTTGCTTGGAGATGGTTTTCTCCTTCTGCGTTTTGACTGGTGGACTGCTTGTGCGTCTGTGTGTGTCAGCAGTGCGGGCAGCGAGCTGGGCGGGCTGGGAGGCTGTAGCTGTGGCTGTGCCCAGAGAGCCCTGTCCGCGGAGCTGCGGCTGCTGGCCCTCCACTATGAGATGTGCCAGGAGCACTGCTGGAGGCTGTATTACACCGCAAACGAGGGCTCCATCTCCGGCCCGCGGTAGGCAAAGATCTACCTGTTTAAAACCTGCAGATGGTACTCGGCGTGTTTAATTCAGAAGTATGCTGAGTATGTATTTAAACATTCCAATGTAACCCATTCAGATTTGTGTTTATCCCAAATATCAATTGCTACTTACGAGCGTTAAAACAAAATGTGAAAACTTTGCACAAGTATCTTTGCAAGACACTAAATGTAGTAAAGTAATACTTCAACCGGCAAAAGGATCAGCTCACTAAACTGGTGAGGGCTCGTGTAAACTCAGTTTTGGCAGTTAATTGCTTCAGTTAAATTGCTAAACTTCAGCGGACCAAAACTAAAAAAAAAAAACCTGCACATTTACAGGACGGGAGTCAAGTTGCTTGTTTGTTAACTGATAGTGGTGAGCAGAATGTTTTTACTGCTAGTTTTACATTTTTCATATTTTTGATGTAAGTGATGTTTTAAGCCAGCCGTCCTCAATCTTTTCCAGGCCTTTTTAAAGTGCCAGCAACTGATTTCAGTGGCTGAAGAGCTTGGAGAAGTTGGTAAACTTATCCAATTATGCCAAAAAAAAGCTGATTCATTTCACTTTGAGCCCAGCTGGGCTGGAGGCTTGTAGATGTTTCGGGTGGGCCAGTGCCCAGCTTGGGGACCTCCGTTTTAAGCGGTTGCCTGGTTTGTCTTTGTCCATGTTTGTCCTGGGCAGGGCAGAAGCTCCCCCCGACAGCCTGGTGTGCGTTCTGCAGGACCTGCAGTCGAGCTACAGGGCGATGAGGGACAGCATCCTGTCGGGCAGCACGCTGGACCAGCTGGCCCCTCTGTCCGTCAGTTCAGAACGGATCCTCACTGGCCAGCAGTACACTCCGGCACAGGTGCGCAGTGTCAGTCTCCGTGCCAGTGGTCTTGATTACACAAGACACTCTTGCAGTTCCGCTGAATGTACAGTACCGTCTTTTCAGGATGCCCATTGAGTTATGTGATGTACAAGTCTGTTTCGTTGGATGTGCTTTCAAAAGCTGTCTTTCAGCTGCTCTGTTTTGCAGATAATACCTGTGGAGACTCATGATGAGGTCATATCTAGGTATGTTCCTTCAGTACTCTCATTTTTCAAAAACTGATATTTTAAAAATAGTGATATAAACCCTTTGTTTGATTACTACAATAAATCAGATGTCTGAAAATGTGAGCTGAGCCTTAACTAAGTCTGTGTTTTGCGCCGGTTAATAGGAATCAAGCCTGAATTAATCAACACTCTGTGAACGTTGTGCTGTTGTGTGATGGGAGTCTTTACTTGTTCCAGTTCTGAAGAGCAGGACAGTGAGCTGCCTGCTCAGGGAGGTGCGAGGGAGACGCAGGGGGGAGTCTCCACGGACTGTGATGTGCTGTCCCTTCACAGCCCTCCTGGTCAAGTGAGTATTCAGCAACTGGGTCACCAGACTTTAAATGCCTGGTTTGCTTTGCATTTGTTAAAGAGCAGTGAACCAAAATTGTCCGTTTGCTGTAGAGCTGCTTTCTAATGCGTTCTGAAAAAACTTTTTAAATTGGTTTTAGAAAGCTGCTTGAATTTCAACGAGTATATTTTGCCCTAAAACCAAAGGCTTTGAAGATGTCGCTCTGATGCTATGACCAGAATCGTGCAGTAATGTTGCATAAAGATCAACTCATATCATATGTACATTTTTCAATAATATAATAAAAATATTGAATCATATTATATTGCTGAAATACCATTGAAACAATTTTGTGGAATGCTTGGGGATGATGAGTGCTATATAAATGTGAAGAATTGGATCCCTTGCTCGCTGTATGAATGGGCTCTGATGAATGCGTGCAGGATGGTCATTTGCTTCTCTCCCTGCATGCTGTTGACGTTGCTGTGTAGCTGGAGGGGGCGTGTGCAGCGGTGTCTGAAGAGCCCCGAGAGCCCGCCTGTCACGGGGCCGGGAGAGACGAGACCCCCGGCAGGCAGGTGGGCCAGGCCAAAGGGGAGGAGCCAAGTAAGACAGCTGCTGTTCACTGGTCTCTCTTTTGCCCCAGAGTGGCACCTTCCAGAATAATAGCACTTCTAGGGGGGTTATACTAGACGTTTTGGAGAAGACAGTTTTTTTTTCTCCAAAATCCTTCATTTCTTGCAGTGTGGACCTCAGCTCATCACCTGTCAAGTCAGATTCTGCATGATGCACAAGACAATAAACAAGAAGTGTGTCTAAGCATACTTTTTGAGCTTAGGTGGTCTGTGGCGCTGGTCTTATCAGACTTCATACTAAAGTGGATAAGCTCCGGACTGTAATGTCCAAAGCTGTGAAACGCTGCTGGAGTGCTCTTTCTCTTCCTTATGTCCGCCTCAGGGATGCTACTGTGGAATTTTGGAAAATCACAGGTCGACAGCGATGCATGTACTCTCTTCTCCCCACCTTGCTATGTTAGTGATTCTCGGAGTCCTAATGTGCCATCCGATAAGCTGCGTGCTGGCTTAAGTACATGAGTCATTTGGGTGTCTCTGGTAGTAAAGAGTACCAAATCTGTTGTATTGGGTGCTGTTCTTGACACGGGAAGATGTCACTATTGCAGTGTCTACCTGCTTGTCCATTCATAGCTGTGAGCGCCAGCTGTTTTTTCTTTAACTCGGAACACTACCTGCAAGGACGTGCGTTTCGAAATGAATAGTGTCTGCATGTACTTGTTCGTGGAGCTTTGCAACACCCTGGGGCAACCATATTTCCAAACGCACAGATAATCACACCCTGCAGGGATGTTATTCCTTCCAGTCTCTGTCCTGCCGGTCTCCTGCACTGATTTCGCACCGACAGTGCCGATGCTTTTGTCGTCAGGTGCGATGACAAAGGATCTTAACGAGAACTGGTATGATGCAGAGGAGGACTTTGTGTCCACCAGCCAGGAGGATGATGCACAGCACAGAGCAGGAGCAGAGAGCCCCAGGAAAACGAGCAGACAAGAGCACAGGAGGACACATGTAAAAGGTTATTTAACACGGATGTGTGTAAGACAGTGATATTCATCTTCCATTCCTTGTACGAGATCTGGCATCTTAGTTTTTACTATCGGTTATGAAAAAAGTTTATTTTAGAGGGGTAGTTAGTCCACAATGGAAAATAATATATAATTTACATGTGTTTAGCCTATGGTGCATGGTGACAACCTGGGACAGTTACTAGATCATTAACCTGTTGGTAATAGGCATGCCAGCATTCATGTGTGAGACTGTATGAAATCCTTACTCACTGGTGGCTACTTCCAAAACTAATGATAGCATACAACAGATACCCAGCATGATGAGCCAAGCAGAGCACTCTTATATTGTCCTATTACAGAAAACGATTTGGCATGCCAGGTAAATATTTCACAAACTTTTCTCAGATGTTCTTATGATTTATAACCGGAGCTTCTATTAATTATTTATAGTTATTCCAATAAGCGCATTATTGTTAGATGTTTTCCCCAGTATTAATAAGTGCACATAAATCTTTGTGTATATTTACGATTCCAAATTATAAGCTTGTGACAAGTAATTTCAGTTTGGAGTTCTGCTGAAAATTGCATTTTAGATCCCATTGCAGCCTTAGTGCACTTATAACCATGTGGAAATGACGCAAGGATATCCTAGTTTCCAGAATCGATTTATTTTAGCTGTCAGCAGACCCTGTTGAATTTGTGTACATTAAGGTTCATGTGTTCTTTTTTTTTTCTTTCAAATCTCCAGGAAGTACCATTGAAGGGGAGAATTGTGTGGGTCACTATCTGTGTGTCAGAGGCCTGTCTGTTAATGTGACTGAGGTATGGGAAGAGAGGGATCAGTAATATTATTGGAATATTTATTCAACATTGAAGGAAATAGATCAGCATGATGATGATAGCACTCCACTACAGCCTCTTTAATTACCTATGGCTTTGGGTCTTATGGACCGTAATAAATCATTCTGAGATGTAATTGGTAATATGCTGTGCCTATTACTGTATAAGAATGGTATAGAGGGGCACATTGTTATGCACTGGATAAAATGAGTCAGCAGTATCTTAAAAATGTATTAGTGATGCATTTAATCATTGCAATACTATGCATCAGAAAAAAAATGCTTGGCACTTATATTTAGTTATTTTCTATCCTCTTTAAGTACTGGTGTTACTGGGCAGTAGCCTAGGCTGTAGCAGACACCTGTATAAAGACAAGTAATAATGATTCAGTGACTGGATCTCTGCGATGTGTTAATGGAAGTCACCATGAGAAACTGCAGGTACAGCTCCTTGTGCCATGACTCCTTGGGCGCTATCCAAAAAGCAGCAATTTGAGTCTCCGCAAACTTTTGTTACCATATAATAAGGGCTTGCTTTTCTTTTAGAATGAGATAATGACACTGTTTGAGAAGTACCGTGCTACAGATGTGTGGATGACAAATGTGGGTCATAACAGGTAAAGTTTTAAGCACCAGAGAACTGAGAAACAGGAGAGACGTATTTAAACATGCTTACTTTGAATAGAGGAAATAGATAAAGTATTTTTGAATCAGTGCTTTAACTGTATTTAATTGTTCTTGAAATTAAACGTTCTTCTCTGTCATGGAGTTGGACATTTTGCAGGTCATTCTGGCACTCTGTGTACAGACCTGTGAAAGCGAAGGCTTGGTTTCTCCCCTCTTCTTGCTCTCTCAGGGTGGCTTTTGTGACGCTTGGCAGTGCCAGCGCCACAGAGCTGGCGGTTCAAGAAACGAATGGGAAACAAATCCAGGGGCAGTCCATTAAAGTGGATTGGATCCGAAGGCCCCCACTGGTAAGCCCGGATTCCTCCAAATCATCGCAGCGCAACCGGATCCTGGTGCATGAAGCCTGCGCCAACAAGCCAGCTTCCGATCGAGGTGTGACCAAGCCAGAGACCAGACCTCCGGCACCATTCATCCCTGCAAAGGTCTGTAAGCTCACAGGCTCCTGCCCTCTTGCTCCTCTGCTTTAAGGTGAAAGAGCCCTTGACGAGAACCAAGTGTCTGAGTTTCTTCTTCACAATATAGGGCTACAAATAGATTTATAAAAGTGTTGTACGTGTTGCCTGGGTTTGAATCTGGTTATATTAAGTGGAGATGAGACAGGTTAAAAACAACATGAGCATCAGTATTATTTCACTTAGCAAGTGTTGCGATGCTTTTTTTCCTTTTTCGGGACGGCATCTCGGTCCTGAAAACATTAAAGAGGAGACTTGCTTTTCTTCTCTCAACACCCTTGGTAGCAATCTGTAGGACTGCCAAGGGTCCCGCAGGAGGCCGTAGAGGTCAGTTGCAGGTGAGGTCCACCGTTTAGAGGTCCTTTGTCCATCTGTCCTGTGGGCAGCCGTTCAGCAGGAACCTGGACAAGCTGAAGCGCGTGGAGAGGAAGCCCACCTCCTCGGGCACGTTCATCCCCCAGCACTACGCGGAGATGGGCAGCTTCGACAGGCTGATGGCACAACTCTCCGAGCTGCACCCGGAGGCCGGCCGGCAGAGGATCGTGGGCGCGCTGCTGGAGCTCCGGGCCCAGAAGAGGGGCTTTCTCAGCGGCCTGCCCCTCAAGACCATCGTGCAGATGACCTCCGACCTGCTGAGGAACCCACAGGGTGCGAGAATGAATGACGCAGGCAAGTGCGGGTTCTGAAGTTGTTACATGGCGTGGGGCTGTAATTTTATATTGACTATCAAATTCAAAATGCAATTCTGAAATGACAAAACCCTCTTTTTTTTTCTCTTTCTTTCTTTTTAGGTCCCCCACTACAAAATTGACAATCCATGAGGTGTTGATGTTGCTCTGCGTTGTGGATTTGTTTCATTTTGATATAAAAAAAAAACAGTTTCTGAGCTGCTGCAACACAGTTTCATGTTTAGCAGAAAACCAAGGAGGGGGAATAGTAAATTGAAAAGACGGCTTGAAAAGGATTAAAATAACAAAGCAACGAGTGACGTTTAACGTCAAGCAGTAAAGAGAGAGGCACTCGGCCTACTTTTGTTGCCGGAAACCGAGGGGAAAAAAAAGTCATTTGCAAGCAAAAAGCTAGTAAAGCCTTGATTTGAGAAAATTTTGATTTGGGAACTGCGGGGCGTGATCCTTTCTGTTCGTCAGCTGTAGGTTTTCCTGAGGGGTAGTTCTGCGTCTGCAGCTGCTGTTGGAATTTCAGTCGCTCTAGCTCTGTGTTGGCGGAGAATAAAGTTTCCTGGAGTTGACTCTGTCGTGTTGTCTCTCTTCCTGCTCCGCGTCACAGTTAAGAGTCCGGAGAGCAGCCGTGCTCCCTATCAGTACGATGTGGCTCCTTGAGATAAACTCCATACTAC